ACTGCTTCATGTTCCCCTCATACCACGCCTACCCCTTTCTTTTTCTGCTTCTCCTACTGGGCCCCGCACGGCCCACCCATCGTCTTTTTAACTTCACAAATCATCGATATATTCGTCGTGTTAGATATCTGACATGTCAATACCAACATAGTTCAGTTTCCCCTGAAAATTTAAATTTGAAATTGAAATTGAGAATGGAATTATTGTCAAATTAATTGTAATGCTATTATTATGCGGCTTCAATTTATTGAGAGAGAATAAAGAGGGTGGGGGCAATTAGTATTTAGTAATGGTAATTATTGGAGATGGTGACCTGATTTTGTTTTTATGTGATGAGACTTAATAAAGGCAATTAATTTTGTTAGCCGTAATTTCGAAGGACGGAAAATGGCTTGCTTATTGGGCATTAATTGATTATTGTGGTTGTTGCCGATGCCGTCTCCGTCAAAAAATAACACCGCCAATAATTTTTGTAGATCCTAGTTCCTACTTTTTCTTTTAGTTTTTAGGGAAAATATGCATTAATAGAAATAAATAATGAATAATTGGTGGGTGTCAAAAGTTGTTGGGGAAATGTGTATTTAGCAATCCTCAGAGGTATTATCTTTCACTAAATTGGTTCCTTGATTTGATTGATGCACAGTTTTCGTTTCTTTCGTACACTAAATAATAAATAATAGATTTAAATATTATTTTAGTTTCTATCACTTTATTTTATTTTCATTTTTCGTTTATATTTTCAAGATTTTTATTTTGTTTCTAAAAATTTACTATTTTAACTTTTACCTAACTTATTTTGATCATAATAATATTCGTATACGCTAAATTTTTTGAAATATAGTTGTAAATTTGATATTAAATGATTTTTATTGAGTGTACATTTTATATTAAAATTTTGTAACCATAGATTAAATTGGTTTTCAAAGCCTTCGAATTTATTAAGTGCGAAATTGCAACAGTGGGTGATGAATTCAACTCATTGATCGATGATGTTGGTAATCTAGTCCTAAAATTCCCATCCATTTCCTACTTCTTCGGGTCGGTAACAAACCAACTGATGCTTTAGAAAAGTTGGATCTCCATATTACAACCATGTTTATTTTGTATATCAATTTTATCAAATTTGCTTTTAAATATTGTTAAGGGTGATATCCTTCCAAATGTAGCCCATGTAGTAATTTCTTCTATTTATTATAGTACTCCTATTTTCTCAAAATAAAAAAAAACAAAAAATGGTCCTTTTCTTAAAATATATAAACCAAAATACAATGACAAAAGTTAATAAAATTGAAAGTAACAAATATCAAAACACATTAACGTTAGCTCAAAATAGTATTAAGCCTCATTTGTAATCGTAATCAATGAATTGTAATGAAAGTTTTGATTCCTGCGACAGTGTTTACCAAATTGTATAAATATAATCAAATGGTGGGACCCACCTCAAACTTTGTAATCTCATTAAATAAAATCTCATTACACTCCTACAACCTCATCAATTTCATTCTCATTCCTTATTCCGTGGACCCCACATATATATTATTTTTAATGTATCACTTATATCATTTCTATCCATATAATTTTTAATTAGTTTTTTATACTTTTATAATTTCTTATCTATTTATACTCCAATTTTTATGATTTTTATGAGTCGATAAGATTTTATTATATAATATGATAAATTAATATTAATTAATATCAATAAATTTTTTAAATAGATATTAGTACTTTTAAATATTAGAATAATAAAACTTAATAATATGTTATATTAAAGTTCTGGTTGTTCTAATAATTTTTTTTTATTAATATGTAATTTTATTTTAATTATTTATATTAGATAAAATTGTTATAATAAAAAATGTTTACTATCAATAATATATTAATAAATTAAATTAAAATTATTATTATTGTAATTTAAAAAGATCAACACAATAATATATTTGTAATTACCTGAAAAGGGGAAAGAGGTATATTAGTAATGATTATATATATAATTTCGATTTCAATTTCAGAAAATTTTAGTGAACAATATCAATAGAATAACATTACGATTTTGATTGATTTTTATTACGATTAATTTTCATTAGATTGATTTCTATTACGATTGTAGATAGGTAAATAAAAAATAGTATTAATTTAAATAATAATAATAATAATATGATTTATTTTCTTAATTTGGGGCAAAGAGGGTCAAAAGTGAGAGGAAAGGAACGGATGACAAGGTTGAGTGGGCCCCACGCGTGAGACATTGTTTAACGTAAAAACGGAGTGCATGATAATCACGTGCACTCGACGCTGTTTCGGAAATATCAAATTACGATTTGTTTTCTTTATATTTACGATATCAATGTTGCACTTGTACTAAATTTTCAATCACATTTTTATTTGTCTATCAATTCCATTTAATATGAGAAATAAATCCGCATTTTAACAGTCTTACCAAAAAATAATCGATAAAATATATAAAAAAAAAATATCACTATTACATGCATAATACTCGTATTAATAATTTTTAATTTATTTATAAATGATGAAATGCTTATTCGTTCATTTAAATACTTTTTAATTTTTTTTAGTTTTATAATCTTTTCATAAATATCCAGGACATTGACTTTTTATCAATATTTTTATCCACGTTTCATGAAATTGAAACATCTAACATTTAAAACCTTATTTATAACTTCAACTTTTTGTTCTTTATCATTATTATTATTATTGCTTTTATTTTAATTTATTAATTGGAGTAACAAAATTTCACAATAACTTAGAATATAATTTCTTGCTTCTGATCTAATTAATTATGTTGTCAACAGACAAAATTTACATGCTCGCCCTATGATGCACTTTAACCAGCCAAAGTAGGTGAAAAATAAGGGTTGTCTTATAGACGTAATTGCGATGTCGTCTAAAAATAATGATTACTTTGTAAGATTTGTCTATCAAATAATAAGTGTAAAATACAGAGTTTGTGATTATTGTTTTGTAAGATTTTATACCAGAGAATGTGATAACATTATTAGCTGTGGAAATAATGCTCCTGTGTTAATTTTTACATAAACCAACTTTAGTTTATGTTGGGTTTGAATTTCGATCCATTTAGAGTTGAATTAACATATGAACTACTTTTATTTATAAGTGTAAGATTGTGTTATTGCTTTTTGACCATAATCAAAACTTTTTTTTTTCCTTTCCAATGCAACATTACTCGAAGTTTACAGATGTGTTGGTTCTTTAGTGAACTAGTTGGGAATGTATTTTCAAATATATTGATTACCTTATTTGCATGCCAAACTTGGTCCCACGACAAATTATTGGATTTTATTTTTTCATTCATTAGTCTATGACCATATTTTATAAAGTTGAGATTGTGTTTTTGTTTTACTAGAGTTTATTCGTGGATTAGTCTTTGACTGGAGTTCTTTATACGCGTGTATAATAAAATATAAAATATGATTTGTTTAATTACAAGTTTGACATATGAAAAAATTTGATAACTCAACTTAATTAGTTGAGATATATATCATTAATAAAAAAATTATAAGTTTGTAATAATTCTCACCCACATCAAATGCATGAGTAAAATAAATCACTAAAATTTGAACATTATGCCTAAGAAGTATTTGAAATTAAAAAATATTTAATAGCTTTGTGTCCTCTAGATTTTTCAAATTTTAAATTAATTCGCGAGCAACGAATATATTAGACGTATATGGATTTATTAGATATAAAATTGAAATGAAGTTTACTAACCTATTAAACCCTTTAAATTTTAAAACATAAGTCAATATATTAAACACGATTCTAAAATTAGTTTTAAGGACCAAAACGATTTTATGATTGAGGATACTTTTATATTCTTTAATACCCAAAATAAGGTTAAAAATACTCAAAAAGTCTAAATTAATCAACGGGATAGGCTAGATATAATATAATTTAGTTACATATACTTATTTGGAGGTACCTTTACATTTGTATGTGGCGATTGGAATTTAGTCATTTGATCTCAAAATTATATTAAAGCTAGGTATAGATTGATTGGTACATTTTGATATGCAATCTATATTATAGTTATTGTTATAAAATTTATTAAATGAAATCGATTCAAAGAAATTCTGTTTGGCAAATTTTTTTTTAAAATCATTTTTTCCTTATTACGAGATTTAAATTGTAGAAATTATGAAAACAAACAACATCGTGTTTTCATATTTTTAATTTGAAATTTAGAGTTACATTTAAAAATAATAATAATAATATTGGTAAATATACTATTTTTCGGTTATAACTCGTTTTTTTATAATTAAAACATGTCAAATATAATATATTATTAAAATTATATAACATTTCAAAATAAAAATTTTACAAAATTTACAACAGGTAAGTTAATAAATTAATTAACAATGTTTTAAATTGAATGTAAAAATTCTGGTTTATAAATATATTACTAAGCAGTGGAATAAATTTTAAATTTGAGATAAAAATTTCAAATATACTATCATATACATATCCAAAAAATACTAAAAACATAAAACATAACCCTATTTTTCATTAATTTTTTTTTTGTTGGGATACATTTTTACACCAACTAATTACACGAATGTAAGGAAAATAAAAAGGAAGTGGCATGTGGGAAGGCAAAGTGATGAGTGAAGACATGATGCGTCTCCCACCAAGGAATTTAGTGGACAAATCGTGGCTCCTCAATACATCATGCCTTATCATATACATAGCATGACCCATCAATTATGGAAACTCCTCTCTCAGCCCCTTTCCTCCCTCGCCACTTTTACCTTTCCACCCAAATATTTAGATGCTTACTGGATAACGCTTAAATTTGTGCGGACCAGTATTTAATTTTTTAAAAATAAGAGAGAAAAGTAAAATGGAGAATATTTTTAAATTCAACACAGTCAACATTTAAGCAGGTTTTTAAAAAAAAAAAAAAATCCAAAATCTTATTATCAATCTTTATAAATATGTGGCAACATGTACTGCTCCAACAAACACAAATAATTAATGAATATAATGTCTTTTTTCTTTTTTTCGGTTGGTTAGAGGAACATATAACTGTATGTAAAATAGAAATTAAGAAGGGAATTTGGGTTGGACAAGAAATTATGATGCGATTCAATTTCACATTCACCCCAATTCCAACAAGTGTGAGTACAAAAGCTGTACAGTACAACAGCGTGTGAAAAAAAGAAGTGGCAACGCCCATCCACCGTGAGACACGTGTCACTTTCCGTCTGCACCTCCTGCTAATTTGTCGCGAATCGCACGCGCGACGCGACGAACCAAAAGTCAAGATTATAAGATAACGCAGCGCACCAAAATTTAAAATTCTCTTTCCTTTTAATAATTAACAATAATAAACAAGTGTATGTACTTTGTGTGTGTGTGTGTGTGTGTGTGTGTGTATGAGTGTATCTTATTTTCTGCAGATTAAGTTAATTGAATTAAATTAAAGAAAAAGAGAAGAGGAGGGGCGAATCGAGGAAGACGAAAATCCAAAGGCCCGTCTCTTTTTGAAATCTTGGGAATCCACGTGCTAAAATGCGCCTCCCTTCCCTTCACATTCTTCCTTCCCACCAATCCATTATCGCTTTTTTCCAAAACGACAATCTCTCTCTCTAACAGAGTCTCGTCTCATACATACACTCAGCTTTCTGTACTGTTTTCGTGTTCTCTTAGCCTTTCTCTGCTTTTTCCAATTCTTTACTATTATATATAATCTCTCTCTCTCTCTCTTTTGATAGCTTTTAATTTGGTTCAACAGTTTAAAGCTGCAAACAATGGCCATATACAGATGCCAGCGCAGGATAACAGCATGCACACTCCTCCCAGTTTCGAGAACAGAGCGAATTACAGATTCTAAAACAACAGAAAGCCTCTTTCCGAAGGAGAAACTTAAAAGCTAAGCACAACCCAACTCAACCCAGGAGGAGTAATTCCAGCACCAGCACCAGCACCAGTGTGTTCATCGAAAGGTCGGTGTCTATTCAAGATAAATACAAGCACACCCAGTTGGTAATTAGAGGTCACTTCACCTCCATGCTTCGATCCGCGTGCTTTTGATTGATGCAAATGGATGCGAAACAAGCCCCACCTACGAGATTTTGCAGACAACCATTTCCAGTTTTTGTTCCTTGGTCTTCGATTCTCATGGAGTCCCTCCTGCTTTTTTGACTGATGGATTGATTCTCTTGTTTTCTTCTTCCACTGTCTCTTTCATGCCCCTACTCTGATTTTCTTTTCCCTCCATCTGGGAATGTGCGAGAAATTCAAGCGGCACCGTCAATTCATTCCTCGCCTTTACTTGGATGAGAAGTTGGAATTGCTTGGCGATCAAGAGGGGTTTTGCTGTAAGTTTGGGACTCAGGATGTAATCGTCGACGGTTGATTCTTGCTGAAGCTGACAGAAGGACACGTCATGGGCTCTGTGGAAGAGAAGATCAAGACTACAGGAGGAGGAGTAGGAGGAGGAGGTTTGATTATTAACGGGCCTCAGACTAGCCTTTTCGACGAGATGAAGTTGTTGAAAGAAATGCAAGATCAGACAGGTTCTTCTTTTCCTACTAATCCATCATCGGCATTGTAAAGGACACTGAATTCTACCACTGCATTTTACTCTATTATCAATTTTAGATATGGTGAGAAACTGGAGTTTGGATTTCAGGGGCCCGAAAGGCTATAAACTCAGAGCTGTGGCACGCTTGCGCTGGTCCGCTTGTTTCTTTGCCCCATGTGGGGAGTCTTGTTTTTTACTTCCCTCAAGGCCATAGCGAGCAGGTACGGAGATTTTTCCCCTTTATTTTTTCTGGGATTCATTTAGACTGCATTAAATTCACTAATGTAATTCCAAAGCCTTCCCTGCATATCTTCCAATAGCATTGATTTTGATACATGGATAGATTACAGTTCCTGTTAATGATGAAAATCTTCTATTTGATGTCATGTTTATGGGTTTTTTCATCTTATTGAAGTTCCTCAATCTTTTGTATTTCTCTTTTCAACTCAGTAGTTATTTTTTTCCCAACAGGTGGCAGTTTCTACCAAGAGAACAGCAACCTCACAAATTCCTAATTATCCAAATCTTCCCTCTCAGTTGATGTGCCAAGTTCAAAATGTTACCCTACATGTATGTGCTTTTGTTGTTAGTTAAATAACCTTTTGGGTCATCCATCGAAGTAATGTTCTGAAGAATGTACTGTTTTATCTTAGGCCGATAAAGATTCAGATGAAATCTATGCTCAAATGAGTCTTCAACCCGTGAACTCTGTAAGAATACATATCTGTTTAGTTCTTTGTGCATCAAATTTGAATTTGTACATTGTTTATGTTATCATCTCTTTTCACTTTCAAATTTACCTTTGGGTCAGGAGAAAGATGTCTTCCTAGTTCCGGACTTTGGACTAAGGCCAAGTAAACACCCAAACGAGTTCTTCTGCAAAACTTTGACTGCCAGTGACACCAGCACACATGGTGGGTTCTCAGTGCCACGAAGGGCTGCTGAAAAACTCTTTCCTCCATTGGTAAGGATTCCAGTCCATGCCATTTCTTGCTCCCGTTACTGTTGATAATTAGTACCATGTTGTTAAGATTAGCACTCGGGTTAATGTTGAAACAGGATTACACAATGCAACCACCAAATCAGGAACTTGTTGTCCGAGACTTGCACGACAATATCTGGACTTTTCGCCACATATATCGCGGTGAGTATGCTGTTTCGTCAAACTAAAATCCACCATTTATGATGTGAACCAGGATTATGCTGTTTTCCTGATGGTGGTTTGCTTTGGTTTTTATAGGGAAGCCGAAGAGACACCTTCTCACAACTGGGTGGAGTCTATTCGTTGGAGCAAAGAGACTCAGAGCAGGCGATTCTGTCCTTTTTATAAGGTAAGATGGCATCTTTTTGCCACCCTTTCTGCTGTGAAGTTTGAATAATTTAAGTCTAATGTGACAATAATATAGGGATGAAAAGTCCCAGTTGATGATTGGAGTTAGGCGTGCTAACCGGCAACAAACTACTTTGCCATCATCGGTTCTATCTGCTGATAGTATGCATATAGGGGTTCTTGCTGCTGCAGCTCATGCTGCGGCTAATCGAAGTCCATTCACAATCTTCTATAACCCCAGGTTCTTTTAACTATCAAGTGGTTCAAGTTTAGCTTTTCCCGAACTTTTTTGGTCCTGTTTGTCAAACTCTACGTTTTTCTTTTTCCATAGGGCATGTCCTTCAGAGTTTGTTATTCCTTTGGCCAAGTACCGAAAATGTGTATACGGAACCCAGCTTTCTGCAGGCATGAGGTTCGGGATGATGTTTGAGACTGAAGAGTCCGGTAAACGCCGGTGAGTTTAATTTCAAGTACATGAAATTTTGTCAAAATATATGTGTTCATTGATCTTATGTAATGGCATTCTAATATATTTGAGTGATCATATTGTATTGTTTATGTTATTTTATGGCGCAGATATATGGGTACAATTGTTGGAATCAGCGATTTAGATCCACTAAGGTGGCCAGGTTCCAAGTGGCGAAATCTTCAGGTGAATTATTACGCTGTTTTGAGCTCAACTGTTTCCTTTTTCTTCTGTTTATGAGTGTTCCCTGATGTGTTTCTCGTTAATTTCCTCACAGGTGGAGTGGGATGAGCCAGGGTGCTGCGATAAGCAGAGCAGGGTTAGTTCATGGGAGATTGAAACTCCAGAAAGTCTTTTCATTTTTCCTTCTCTGACTTCGGGTCTAAAACGTCCATTACACAGCGGATTTTTGGGTAAAACTTGATCCTTTCTGCGTCTTCTACTACTCTTGCTAGTTTGGGAAATGCCATTTTTTTTTAATAATGGGAATGTTTCATGTTAGCAGGAGAAACTGATTGGGGAAGTTTGGTGAAGAGACCAGTGCTTCGTGTTCCTGAAAATGTTCGTGGGGATCTTTCATATGCGGCGCCAACTTTATGCTCTGAACCTCTGATGAAGATGCTACTGAGGCCTCAAATGGTTAACCTTCATGGAGGAGCCACCACACAGCAGGATTCAGTTAATAATTTAGTTAAGTTACAGGACATGAAGGGCATGCAGCCAATAATCAATCCGAAAATGCAGCAGCAGCAGCAGCAGCTTATTTCGTCAGAAACTGCATCTCCTCAAAATCAAAATCACCACCATCCAGCACCTACACCTACACAATCTGATGCCATAAACTCAACTTCATCACCAGAAACCAATCTACCCGGAAATGTACACGCTTCGGCGGCCATTGAAAGTGAAGCACCTACTGGAGCTGATGTAGTAGACAAGCCAAAATATGAACGTCATCTTTCAACCAATGAGTCTAACAATCCATTGCCCCCGGTTGGAGATTGTGGGGAGGAAAAACTCAGTGGCAACGACGTGAATATGCAGACCCTCGTAAACCAGCTTTCGTTTGTGAACCAGAATCAGATCCCCATGATGCAGTTGCAACCTGTATCATGGCCTATTCAGCAGCCGCAGCTGGAATCACTAATCCCACACCCACAACCAATTGACATGCCTCAGCCTGAATTTACAAATTCAAATGGTTTGATTTCATCCCTGGATGGCGATGGATGTTTAATTAACCCATCCTGTCTACCACTACCTGGAGTAATGAGATCACCAGGGAGTCTCTCTATGTTGGGATTGCAAGAATCCTCAACAATGTTTCCTGAGGCTCTTAATTTTCCTTTACCCTCTACAACCCAGGACATGTGGGATCCTCTTAATAGTATAAGATTCCCATCTCAGACCAATCATCTCGTTTCCTTCTCTCACCCAGACGCTTCTAACCTGAACTGTATGGCTGTTAATGCGAATGCTATGAGAGATGTTTCAGACGAGAGCAACAACCAAAGTGGGATATACAGTTGTTCGAACCTTGAAATCAGTAATTGCGGAAGTGCTTTGGTTGATCCTGCTGTTTCAAGCACCATTCTTGATGATTATTGCACATTCAAAGATGCCGACTTCCCAAACCCTTCAGATTGCTTGGCTGGGAACTTCAGTTCAAGCCAAGATGTTCAGTCTCAGATCACCTGTGCTAGTCTGGGAGATTCTCAGGCTTTCTCCAGGCAAGAGTATCATGATAATTCAGGCGGTACATCCTCATGCAACGTGGATTTTGATGAGGGCAGTCTTCTGCAGAATGGCTCATGGAAGCAAGTGGTGCCGCCCATGAGAACTTACACCAAGGTACAAATCTTTTATTTTTTCTAATAGTTGTTTTAAGTGGTTTGCCCTTCCCAGTCTGAAGGGACCAAATTTACATCACCATGCACAAATTTTGCCCTTAAAAAATTGTATGTTCAGAAACCTATTAGATGCAAAATTAGTTTAGGAACTTCAAAAGGACTCCTTAGACACAGTTGAAACTTAAGAAATTATAAGACTCTCTTTAACATGATATGAATGTTGACCTTGAGTGGCTTGCTTTTTGTGGTAACAGGTCCAGAAGGCGGGATCTGTTGGAAGGTCAATTGATGTCACTAGTTTTAAGAACTACGACGAATTATGCTCTGCGATCGAATGTATGTTTGGACTTGAAGGGTTGCTTAATGACCCAAGAGGCTCAGGATGGAAACTGGTTTATGTGGATTATGAGAACGACGTCCTGCTTATTGGTGATGATCCCTGGGAGTAAGTTCTTTAGGCTTGGTGTTGCTTCTCTGTTCCTATATCGTTAGCCTGAATAGTCGAGAAACAGCTCAGTCACTGAAATCAGTATTGCATTTTAGTTTTATATCGTAATTTTTGCTGGATTGCATTGGAACCTAACAATTCGATGGGGATTTCTGCAGGGAATTTGTCAGCTGCGTTCGGTGTATCAGAATCTTGTCACCTTCAGAAGTTCAGCAAATGAGCGAAGAGGGAATGAAGCTTCTCAACAGTGCTATGATGCAAGGTGTCAATTGCTCCATATCAGAAGGTGGCGGAGCTTGAAACTCAGTTTCCTTAAACCAGTCATCGATGATCGATTCTTCTGCCTTGTTCTACGAGAATCGAGTTTATAATAATTATTGACACAAGCTCAAGCAAGGCCAACGGTTAGCATAAAGCTCTCTCCTTGATGTAAGTGTGATTGTTAGTTACTTATTTTTATCAGCAAAGGGACATTGCCAAGAGCTCTGGTTGAAGTAAATTCAGTTCCTACAAAATTGTACTCTTTCTGAACTCCGTAAACAAAAAGAAAAGGGAGTTTATGGCATTTGCAGGGTGCCAAGACTTGTAATCTTTAAAACAAGTTAGCTATGGTGCACCACTTGCAAATCCTGGCCTCAAATTTAGATGATACCCACGAACCATTCATCTGGGTACAGAGGTTCACAATGGAGTCGTATCTTTCGTTTGCCTATTTCCACTTTCTAGAGATTCTATAGTAAGATAACAGCTTTTGCTCATATACTATCTTCTGTATTGGTTTTCTTTTATTTCACATGTTTGTTTCAAGTGTTGTTCATCAGTTAATACGTGAAATATACATTAACATGATTAAATGAGTTTTGATGCAATATTGGTTCGACTTTCATAATCCAAGCCAATTTAACAGTGTCCAAGTTAACTTGAGTTCAACCAATCAAAATAGTGGTAACTTCTTTAGAAGTCGTAAGTTTCAATCTTAACTCGTGAAGAAGAAAAATAAAATTCCTCATTTAGACCATAACGTATATTGCCCTGTTCAACTTAATGTCAGATTAGAAATTGAATGGAAGGTAGACATCATGTGATTAAATCTATTTTGAGAGCGTACGAGTAATTCATCAGTTAAGGTTCTAATGTATCTTATTAGAGCACCACCCTATAAATTGAACCATAGGCAAGAGATATCACAGCCAATCAAAAGAGAATTGGAAGTGAAACCAGCGGTGACAATGATAGGGAAAAAATCTCAAACGAGCCTTATTTAAAGGATGGTGTATCACATTTATTTTAAGATATCCTTGTCATAGGCAGAATTTGCCAATAGGAACTGAAAAACTAAGCATACACCGTACAGAACTTGCAATACCAACCTTGTTTAAACAAAGTAAATTTCTTTTGTTTCAGCAGTAAAAAGCATAATCTGATGAATTATCAAGCCAAAAATCAAACTTCCTCAAACAATGATCAGAGTCGATCTCCTATGTGACATTTTTCTCCATCTCTTCCATCGCTACAAGCTACATCAGTAAATGTGTCCATCAATGATGGGCCTTGGCTTCAGCTTTCGCATGTGACTTGGCCTTTGCCTGGCAAATGTACAAAAATACAACCAAAAGATAACGCCGTAATCAAATTCATATTCTATACTATTAACTAACTACTTGACAACTAGTTAAGGTACCTATCTCCGACTAAAAAGTCGTAAATTCAAATCTTCGTCGTTATATGTTGTACTAAAAAAAAAGAACTGAGGTACATCAGAAGCTCTATGTTTCATCACGTGTTTATGTGCTGTAATTAACATAGCATGAAAGTTCGCATAACCAGGAGAAGAAACTTTCTTATCCACTAAAAATGTTTCGGAGCTAAATGCTTCTAAATAACTATATAACCACGTCTAAACCAATAAACTTGCACAATATTTAAGCTTTAAGTTTCCACAGTTTCCACAAGATTTGTTTCTTAAATTAGAAATGCCGATGAAAATTCAAAATAAGGCAGTGAAGAACCATCGTCTCCGGAAGAAAACAAGTAAAAACTATTAAAGAATCGGATTACACGAAATTTGGTGTTAAATATGAATTCACGTTCACGTCAATCAATGAGTGAAGAACATGATTGCTATTATTTTCAACCTTGTAATGAACATGGAGTTGATTTAGACAGAGGCATCATATAATCAAAATCATGCCCATAAAAATAACCATTGCTACGAATTTACTAACTGCAATGGCATCAGCAGTTGATCCAAATTTACCTTCAGAACCTTGAGCTTAATGCTTCCGTAAACCACACCAAAGGTGAATGCTGATGCTCGGGCTACCTGAGGAAATCGATACCAAAAAAATTGGGATATAAAAGGGGAGAAAAAAACTCAGAATCTATAATGAATGGATCCAATTCATTCCCAAGAAAGGATTGTAAATAATATGACAAATTAGTACAAAAACGAAAGCCAAAATTTCCTATCGTAGGTTCCATTCGCTCAAATTACCATGCGGTTGAGAATTCAGTTGGTCGGGGAGAAAAAAAGGGATAGATCTAGATGCATCTAAATACCACCCCGAACCCTTTGAGAAAATAGTTGGACACGGGACATGACAGGGATCGAGGTCAACAAAAATCGAAAATATAGAAGATAATAGTTCTGCAGATGATTAGGGGTAAAAGAAAAGGCAAATACCAGAGCAAGAGTGCTGGTGCCGGAGTAAGGGCCAGGAGGGGGCGCCATTAGATGTAAATGAATGTATCAGTCGCTACACAGAAATGGTTGGACTCGTCTCCTTCGAGTGTCAATGAGTTCACCTTTCCCACCTGGATCGTAAAACCCTAATTTCCACTGGAATTTTGGATCCGAAGCACCTATCAATTGCACCACTCTGAGGCGTGCCCCAACGAATATTGAACTCAAATCGGTGGAGGGCAGTTTTGGTAAATGACCTCTTACCGTCAATTTTCTTTTTCTTAATTACCTAATTAAACTAAGTTTAGGTTCTTGTTTAAAATTATTAATGTAAATAAAGAGTTAATTTACCTTTTTTTTAATATAACATGTAAGGAGTTCATGAGATAAATATTTTAACTATTTGAGCTATACTCGATTGGATTAATTTACCTTTTATTTTTTACATTATAATCCTCCATTTTTTTTACATCATATCTCAAGGAATTAATGGAAAATAGTTTAAATAATCTTTTGCAATATTTTAAAAATACAAAATATTTGTAAAAAAATTTCATATTTTCTTTGGAGAAACAATCCTGGGCCGGAAGGGTGAGCAAAGCCCATCCGGAATATAGCCCAAATGTAGAGGCCGCGGCCCAGAAAAAAAAAGACAGCGTTTGCTTCCCTATGTTACAGTGACACGTAGAATCCAGAAGACTTGCGCAATGCCACGACGTGCATCGGTTCTGGTTTACCAGTAATCAAAAAGAATAATATAATCAATAATGAATGGAAGGAAGAAGAAGCAGGCGATACGGTGGATCAGTGAACGGTGAAAGTTTTGGTCCAGTCGCCGATGAAGAAGCCATCGCACTCAAGACGTTGACGGTGCACTCAACCAGCATTTCACCGGAGATTTGGATACCCGCGTCCATGGCATTAGGATTAAGATTCGATTAGTGCTCAATTTCTCGCCATCAGGTTTACTCCTCTTAATTCGTTTATCCTTCTTCCACACGTTTCGTTTTCCTCATTTTCATCCTTCCTTCTCGCTTTGAATATCTGAAATGTGTTGATCAGTTGAAGTTAAATTTTTATACTTCATTTGTCTTCTTCGTCCGATTCTGAGCTCTTTTTGTTGTTAAATGAATCCTGGTGGTTAATTCTTCGTTCTGGAGGAAGATGGCTCACGGTCATTAAGATTCCAAATTTTTTTCTCCCTTTTCTTTTCTAATTTTGGCTGGCTGCTTAGAACGAGAGTTCTTTTTTTTATTTATTTGTTTTTCAATGTTCCGTGGTATAATCACTCTGCTATTGAACCTTAAAGCATTCTATGACACTTTAAGGTGAAAAGGAAATGAAATAAATCTATATCATTTTTATGTAAAGATTAATGCACTCTAGCTTGATCCATATCCGCGTGTACTGTGTTTGACGATCAATCTTACACCCTCCTCGTTGAATGAAATGGACCGTCTGATTGGATCAAACTGTAATAGATCATTTTAGCTTGATCCATATCTCCATATACTTTTTTGAACAACTTCTGATGATAACATCTACAAGTTTCTATTTGTGAAGTCCGATGAGTCTATAATAGCCAAACTAATTAAGGATATGTAATTTGTATGTTAAATTACAACCACAAAACTATACTTCTGGTAATGACTTGAAATCATGATGGCGAACTATCCACTACTAATAGTTGGCTTTCGGTAGCAAATATGCAACTTAACTTCAAATCTCAAACTCCACATATGTATTGTGTTAACATGCTTGTCCCATTATGTTTGATTTGTAGCCCTTATATTACTTGTGTTGTGGACTTCTTTTTGTATTTGCAAGAGTGTTTAAAGTGAACTCACTGATAGATTGAAGTCTTACTATTTGATGGATTTTGAAGTCCTACTATTTGACCTGTCTTTTATTTTTTATGTGCTTATGTGGTTTGATTCAGTTACATTAGCGAAAGTGCAACTGAACTACTTCTATTGTGTTGAGGTGTGTGTATATATCATTTCCATTTTAAATTTTGGTTGCAAAAGTTGTGAATTAATGATGGGATTTTCTTGAAGTTTGTTTTTCTTTCAGATGTTTTTACTCTTTGAGTTTCGAAAATATTGGATATTGATTTATGTTATCAGTCTTTTGCTTGAGAACTTTTGCTTCAATATTTTATAATTATTATCATAATAATATGCATCTACGACACTAAATCACCTTTTTTTATTCAATATATCTATATCTACACAATGTGATTTTCTGTTTCCTTATTGTACCTCCGTTACCAATATTTCCTTACTTTAAATTGTTGCTACTTTATTTACAATAATTCATTAAACTAGTTTTATGATCAAATTCTTGAGAATCATACAGAAAATTTAGCATATTCATAGTTGACTCTTTCTTTGTCAGGTACATTTAGTTGAAAAATAATCAATAACTGGATAAACATATTTGTTTTATTCCCAATATTGTTGGACGAAAATGGGAGCATCAAACTCAACAGAGAAAGAGGTTCCTGATGACCAAAAAGAGGCTGAAGCCCTAGCAGCTTCAACGGGGGTTCTTCCTCAGCTGCAGAAGGCATTTTCTAAGCTGGCGGATCCCCAAACAAATGCAATTCCCTTAGAGGCCTTACAGGCAATATTCTAAACTAAGTGATTCTTGTTGGTTTGAGATCATTTTTCATATTTTTCACGATTTAGGGAGGAAAAACAACTCCAATTATTCTTTAAAAAAGGGTTATCCACAAAGATAAATTACGAGGAAACAAGACTTTTTTCTAACAAGTAGTTGCCTAAACATGTTTTCACTAAGTTTTGCTCATAAAAATTTGAAAATGGTTTTTCAAAACACTCCCAAATGAACAACCCCTTAGGTTTTGGACCTTTTTTTCCCTTTAATTTTAGAACTTGAAGAACAAAAACACGATAAAAGGGGCACATTAGTTGAGATCTTATTTTTTGATTCGTTCAACTTATTTGTGTTTTCAATTTGATCTAACATGTAGTTTGGTTTCAGAAATGCTTCTGTTTACATTATGAGAACCGAACACAAGAAACATCTGCCATGCCTGAATCCTTTCCGGCCATACTAGATCAAGTGGGTTTAACAATAACTGAACTATTTTTCATTCCTGAGGAAGGAGGAGTTACCTGGGTTGAATTTCTTAAGGGCTACAGCAAATGTTGTGGAAAAACATCTGCATCAGTTTTGCTCAATACATTAATTAGGGTTTTCGATGCTACAATGGTAAAGATAGGACTCCCTTCGAAATTGGAGTTTGTTTCTCATGAGGACGAATTTAAGATGAGTGGTTCCCTTCTTCCCAGTGATGTTCTTATTTTTCTATGGATGTGTTGGACTATGTCTTGGGATTCTAGAACTTTCAAATTCTCAGGTTCAAATTCAAATTTATTGTTGCCGGATATTAATAATCTGGTGCTGTCATCGGTGACATCATGTGCTGAAGTTGGCAATACTGTAAACGTTTGGGATTGCAATATAGTAGGTTTGGCAGTTGAAGTACCTGTAGGAGCATTTCTTACTTGGGCAATAAAAACTGTTCCAGATCTCCCAGATGGATTTTTACAATTTGTACATGCAAGAATTCTAGAAGCTCCTACTCGAGAGGTAATTGATTCCTCTTTCTTTAGTTAACTTTACATTTCTTTACAAATGGCGTAAAGTCCATAGGCCTGCACTCGGAAAGTTGAAAGTATTACATTCTGTTGATTATGAATAACAATTGGGTGGAAATAGAGGGATGATATCGGTACATTGAGGTGCCTTCTCTGCATAAGTGTTCTTGCATTGAGATGTGTTATAAACTTATAGACTAGGAAAGGGACGATCAACTAAATATAAAGTATTATCTAATGAGTAATGATACTAAAGAACTTTTCTATTCTTTAATCATTTGTTTTCTCATTTATACTTATTGGTTGCCATTTGTTTAGCATTTTTCAATTGGTATTTAGATTTTTAAAACTAAGCTGGAAAGTATTATATATCCTGCGTGCAGCTGTAAAACTTGAATATGATTATTGGGCAACTAAATAAGAGATCTATTATACCTTCAACATAGCAATATTCACTCACTGATTCTTATTTACTGCATCAATATTATTGACTATTTATATTAAGTCTTGCTTTAAATGCAGTATTTGGCTTATTGGCAGCCCTAATTTCTTGCTTCTGCATTCTTGTTATGATGATTTCATGAGTCAAAGGTATTATCCCATAGTTGAGGTTACAACCTAGGTCTATTCTCTCTTGAGCGAACTCTGGTGTTATTCTTATATATTATAAGCGACCTGCTCTGGTATTTCTATATTAGATGTCATGCTCATTCTTAGATCAAATTGTTATATATAGGTATTTAAGATTGAATACAATTGCTGTTCTCTGGTTATATTGTATTAGCTCAGGAATTTAGGTTAATGTTTCATTCTGAGTTGTTGAACATATAATGTACAAATATTTTCCACTTGAAGATTAAAATTTTGAGTTGAAGAATACTATAAAGCCTTATATCTTAGAATATAAATTCCTTTTAATGGACGATATTAGTGGACCTTTCCTTTTCTTGTTGGTCAATGGCAGGATGGAGTGGAGTCATCAAGTTCATCAGTTGTGGATAATGCCTCACCTGAGACATCCAGCTCTTATGTTCTCACCCCTGGAACGGCATGGGCAGTTTCACTTACCCAAAGAGGTGCCATAAGGGAAGAGATATCAAAAATATGTTTTTGTAGCAATGGTGATGAAAGATATGAACACTTACTTTATAGGTTTGAATCCGAGTCTTCCTTAGATTGTTCTTATATAAATAATTGATGCTTTTGTTGAAACTCAGCGGTTTCAGATTGCATATCACATATTAAATCATGTTGTAAGTACTCTTCTACTTTTTGTAGGTCCTCACTGCATGGGAGAGGCTTGAATAGATTCTGGTCGAATGTTGAAGGTTATCAGGGTCCTTTGTTTGCGGTTGTTCATGCCACCTCGAGAAACACTCATGACGATTGCACCAATGAATTGAAATGGACTATTGGTGCACTGACATTCCAGGGTTTTGAAAATAGGGATCAGTTTTATGGAAGCGGAGGAAATATCTATGCTGTTAGTCCAGTTTTCCATGTATATTCAGCGACTGGTAGGATGATGTGGTGGAGAGGCTTCTAGGATTATCTTCTCTTTTTTTTGCCGAATATTTGTGAACTTGCATCTATGATCATTTACAGGGAAAGAAAATAACTTCGTCTATAGCCACTTGCAACCTTCTGCAAGGGTGTATGAGCCACATCCAAAGCCCATTGGAATTGCATTTGGAGGAACTAGTGGAAATGAGAGAATATTCATCGATGAAGATTTTGCCCGAGTTACTGTTCGCTATCATGCGGTTGACAAAACTTACCAGCCTGGTCCTCTCTTCCCAGATCAGGTAGGAATAATATTTGATCTTAAATATGACAATCTTGAGTGTGAATAGTTCGAAGATGAGAATATGTTGAGTTGATGCCTATTCCTTACGGGAGCATGCTATTTATCAAGTTTCAATTTGTTTTTGTGAATAAAAATCCAGGGTTTTTTGCCTGTTGAAGCTTCCATTTTAGAAGTGGAAGTTTGGGGATTTGGCGGCTCTGCTGCCAAGAAAATTCAAAATTCGTATAAGAAGAGGGAGGAACTTTTCACTGAGCAGAGAAGAAAGGTAAAAAATATTTGATTTAATAGAGAGATTCTTTTAACGAGTTGAATGTTATATATAAGCATATCCATTTGGTTCCTTGAACCTCTGCAGGTGGATTTGAAGACATTTGCGAATTGGGAAGATTCGCCGGAGAAGATGATGCTAGACATGATGTCGGATCCAAATGCAGTTCGCCGAGAAGACCGTTAGATTAAAGATGAGATGTTTTCGTCGCTCGTAAAGCTGCTTGTGCTTGATGCTCTCTACATTTGTCACTATCAGCAGCATGTTATGGATGGCGGCTGTACATAGATCTACAAACTGCAAACTATATATATTGGTGGGTAATGTTTCACAATAAATCTTTTACATGCTTTGCCCTAAGATGGCTGTGACCATCTGACTCTTGAGAGGGAGTTTGAGAATAGTGTTTTTCATTGTTCATAAATGTTTCAAGGGTCAATTTCTGCCAGAAGCATTTATAATCATATAAATTCGAAATTTTCTTTTAATCAAAGAATTTTTTATTCTTTCAGAATCCTGGGTTAATATTACGCAAGAGGAAAATTTAAAATTTTAAGTCTTTTATATAAATATTTTTAGTTATAGGGGAGAGGTAATTGTTACCAAGGTTTTAAATGTTGATGAAAATGTCGGGCCTCAAAATTTCCATAGCAAAGTTATAAAAATAAAATATTAAATTAACACAACAATTTCATCCTTTCTAAATTAGTTAAAAATAACGATGATTAATGTTACATCTATACTAGTAAATTTTTGTTAATATGTTTCATATTTTGTCAATGCTTTATATCGATATTGAATTTGATGTATAGAAATGTTGACGAGTATTTAACAGTGTGATTGTCTTTCTGCACCACGATCTCGACGTTTGGTAAAAAAATTTCAAAAGCATGCTACACTCAACCGCAGGCTGGACTAAGTATTTAGGTGTTGTTGCGTTGCCCTCACCACCTCGACATTTCATAGTTCAGAATTTGACCTATTGCAAATGTTGGCAATAAAAACTTTCCACTATTTCTTAAAGCATAAGACTTTTATTTGGATGCGAGTGCGTGACAGATCCTACCTGTTTAAACTCAACTTCTAACTCCCACTTAGTATGATCAGTAAATGGTTCATAAAAACCAACACCATCCACAGGCTACATTTGGAACTTGATGTGGAATTCTTTCACATTTAAGAAGACAAGCAGCATCTGTATGAAATGTAGAATGAAAACATCCTAGAATCAGATTTTTATTGCATGGAAACCAATTCCATTTTTTACATTCTACGGTTGCATGTTGTCCTCTCTTCTTTCGGGTCCATCGCAAGGAAGACAAAAATCAAGATTTGCTATGAAATTGGTCAATTGCAACGAAGTTACTGCTTGTCTTCTGCTTTTCTAGGCTGCAACAAGAAGCACACGAGCATGAGTCAGTTACATGAAATCCAAATGCAGCGGAGAACCCAACTCTGCCAATTAACCATAAAAGAACTTGCAGAGGAACATAAAGCATACAAAAACGAACTTATTATCACAAACCTTACACTTCGGTGTAGAAGTACATATGATGCAGAGAGAGACTTATGAAAAAAATTTCGACGACCCAAAAGTGTGAAGAACTTATCATCTGACATCTAGTCACATTATGTCAGCAGTCTTAGATTTAATTTAAACCCTTAGACAACAATGAATTGAACACTTTGAACTCTTTTGCTACTACTATTTACTCCTGTGCCAAAATCAGAGCATAAAAAAGAAATCTGCAATATAAACTTGTTGCTTTTTAAGTAAGAAACAGTGACTTTACACGGCATTTTGCAAAATGGGGATATCATATTGTATTCGCTAATGTAATGCCAACATCATGCTTGCTAAGAAGCACAGACACGAACAAAAAAGGAAAATACATCAATTTCTAAAAACTAGGACATTTCCTGGCTAGTTGTGCGTCTATTGTTCCCTGGTTCTCTCTTATTTCATACTAAAAGTAATTTGCTAAATAAGTTTAGAGTTCTAAACCTTGGTTCTATTATCCTAAATAAATGGCTCATTCTATAGCAACGGAATTACTACACATGGTAAGAAGTTTACAAGATCATAAATATCCAAAATCTATGCCTTTTGCATCCCATACAACACCACAAGAAAAAGGAAAGGTGATCGGACAGCCTAAATAAGAATGTAACGACAACTGAATTACTTGAAAGAAGGTTAACTAATTAACTGTCCTCTTTTACCCATGTGCTTGTTTGATTCAAGGGTATATTATGAGGATTCATTCTACAAACATTCTCTTGAAAACTGTGACAAAGAAGCTGAGCGACAGGTGGAAGACTGTTTATCAGAACTTTAAATAACAAGAAAATGATTGCCGTTAACACAGATTGAGTTTTTAGACTAAAGTCTAATATAGGGGATAACAGTAAAGACGAGGAAAGAAGCAAGTCCCACAAATTTGGAGCACTTAGATTAACTTATTACGTGAGGCCTAAGGAGAAGAAACTTAAACTGAACAACTCAAGATACGCAAAAGACCAGAAATTTGTCCAGTGGGCAAGAAAGAAAAGTCAGTACACGGACGAAACTATCATCTATTTTGAGAGTACACACTATATCAATACACATTCTGTAAGGTGCACATACAGCGCACAGTTGTTCACGGAATCAAAATGATATTTCAAATGCTAGTGGGGTTCATAAAATAACAGCCAACAACAGGTCATCAATTCAATTCTTTCTCAAATGCTAGTGCAGTCCACAAAATAAGTGCAAAAAACCATAATCTTGCGAAGTAAAAGAGAAGCACTGGATACTCATACTAGTTTGAGATGCGAATCAGAACAAAGAACATGAACACTCTTCAACATTGAAGTACAACGGGAACAACAAAGAAGAAAATTCGTAATACTATTTCGTGCACGTCTGTTGTTCGACAAAATGCCATAAGTAAAACAGTACCAAAGTGAAAACCCAAGCAGAAGAAATATTTGCAGTAAGGGAGAACAAAAAAGGAAGTAACCTTGATGCTGGGAGTAGGTTGACGAAGCTCCTCCTCGGGGATGACGATCGGCCAAGTTTCGCCAGCCTCTCGGAACATTTGCTCGGTCTCAAGGAGTTGGCCCTTCTCAAGAATCATATTCCTAATAGTTTGAGCAGGAGTGGAGGTAGCGTCGAAAACCTCCTCAACTCCGTTGACGAAGGTGACGGCGATCTGGGGCGGCTGGTCGTCGGTTCGGCGCTTGACGATCAACTGACAAGCGGGGTTCGATTCCTTGGCCTTGCGAGCATTACACTGCGCCAAAAATTCCATACAAGAAGCTAAGCGTGGATCCAGGGCATTGAATTCGATCTTCACTTTAGACAGGAACTTCAACATTGCTGCTTGCCAAGAACAAGAACCTTCGCACAGAGATGATTGGAGCCTCAGCCAACAGCCTAAATTCCTAAAAGTTGGAAGTTTCGAAATTGGGTTTTTGACGAAATGGGCCTTTACCTATGGGAAATTCAATCTGTGCTTTTATGAAATTTCAATTTTTATAAATATTACCAAAGCCCAGATTTGTGAAATTAAATAAGTTATTTATTACTAGAGTTTTCTTTTATAACAAAGTTTCTTCCTGTAAAAAAACAATAATTTTTATTAAAAAAAGATAGTATACACAACTATCTTTGTAAATCAGAGGAAATTAGAAAAATGAAGAAAAAAAGCTAAAAAATAAGATTGCTTTTCTTTAAGCTATAAAAAATTTGATATAACTTTTTAAGGAAAAAGAAAACATGGTCAAGGATTTGAAACCAATTGAACAGTGGATATGAGCTTTGTGAGATACAAGTAGACATTACAGGAAATTATGTTTAATTAGTGTTGTTGAGTGAAGCATCCTAAAGTTGTAAATAAAATTAAAAAAAAAAAAAACAAAGCATTTGTATTTGCAGTAGAACTCGTAGACATAACATTTTAGTAGCCAAATTTGCCAATAAAAGGTGCAGCAAGGATAATAATCACTTCTCTATAAGAATATAACAATAACGATCAACTGATCCTCAATCACAATGTACACAGACATAACAAATGTAGACAAACCCTTCTCGCAGTAACCAACTTCTAGGAGAGACATTAAATGATCTAAAGGAAAATGAATAATATATTCTACAAAATGTCGTTCTCGCCAACGTTGTGTCTTTTTTCGACCTACTCAAGTCCAAACCATTAGGACCCCTCTGATGGTTCTAACCAAGAACTCATGCAAATACCAAAAGGCGCACAAACTCTATATGAGAATACCATGGTCAGATTTCGTGGGGTGGCACAGCTTCAAAGTTTGGGGAAAAAAATAATGTTGGTCACTAACCAGAACCAAATTCACCATTCAGATCTCTGATGCCGTCACATTGTCGGTCTTTGAAGTCGTGATTAAAAAAAAAATGTTGATCACCAAGCAGCCACAAATTCACCCACCATCTACCTTTGCCACTTCCTCTCTGAAATTAGAATCAAAACAATAACCAGTAAGTCTATCGCAAAGGTGAATTATGAGGCCCGAGCAAAAAAGATCACGGGACAATGCAAAGGATCACCACACATGTAACAGGACTCAAACAGAAAAGGAACGAAATTCAATCTCCAAAATCATTTCCTTTTGATATGGTCCATGTTTCAAAATATTTAATTTGCCTTCGTTTTCCCCCATTCGAGGAAGGAAAAAGGAAAGGAGACAAAAACACACATCACCAAGAGCAATCTTTTTTCCCACTCACCAATCAAGTTATTGATAATATACCTCTTCATTATAGGCAAATCAAACCAATAACAATGAAAATCTTAAGAAGGTTTACCATTTCCCTTCCCGCTCTTATGTGCTTGAGACGTTGATCTTTGGATGCGTGGGGATCCCTGCCTTCCGTTGGCACCAGGTAAGGAATGTCTCTTCTTAATGTATATTTCTGCATCTTGGACATCAGGACTGGATCTTGGAGAATTATTTAGCTGCACCTTAGCTCTAGCAGACTCTGTAGCTCGCATGAAGTGAGGGACAGATTGATTAGTATTGCTTTCTCTCGACTCTTCTTCAATATGATCAGCTCTTGCAGATCCAAAGGAATTGCGCCTCTTTTCAATCTTCTGGTCTTTTGGCAAAGGTTCCAAATTATTTGGCGAGTCAACATTGCATTGCAGATTTGAGGGTAATTTCTTACCAGCAGGGAGGGACTTGCGCTTTTGGTTGCTTCTGCTCGTATCGGTTTTTCTCTTATTATATTTTAGTGAGATCTGACTAGAAGGTGTTCCTTGGGAATCGAGAACAGTAACATGGCTACTTGGAGAGGCTGATGGGGATAACCTGTAATTACCTGTTTCAACATCCTGTTCTCTCTGCAGATATGATCCGTTCATGTCCGGCGTCACTTCTTTTTGAGCAGAGTCCACATTTATTTTATTGATGGATTCACTAGAAACAACACCGGGCTTTTCTGGAGACCCTAAGACAGGTTGAAATAAGTTCGATATTAGACTGGTCGGAGCACTACCCACTTCAATTTCTGTGCTCTTATTGCTGCTATGATCATGGACACATGCCTCTGTTATATTGGTTTCCTGCTCATATTCAAAGGCTCCAGCTTCGGATAAATCCGGTGAATCAAGAGTAGAGGTAATAGAAAGTTCAGTCCCACATTCCGAGCTACCAACATGAACTGTCCTGGATCCATGTGCGATGAAGTTTTCAGTAGTGGCCAACTCCTCTGTCCTTAGAGCAGTACCCGATGCAGATGAGACTGCACCAATACAAGACCCTGCCCCTGTATCTTGATATGATGAACTGATTGATCTACCCGAACTTTCCATTGAAGTCAGCTCTTGAAATTTAGACTGGGCAGCAATGAAAGCTGGATTACTGGCCCTTCTTGTACCAAAAATAGTCTTTTTATCCTTCACATCAGGTTGATCTGAGGAAAATATCCCACTCGGTATCTTGTGTTGCAGGAATTCTGTTCCAAGCTTCTCTGTATACGGGTTACACTGCATCTGAGAATCTGCAACCAGTTGCATCCTCTGACCTGGGAGAGAATTTACCTCCATAAAGGTCTCTTTTACAGTCGATGCACCCGTGTCCTCAAGCCATGACTGCTCTAAACTCCCACTCCTTGCCATGGAAGAGGTAACTTGACATGGCTGAAACTCTGAACTATCCATATCGTAAGTAATCAAGTTATCTTCACTTTCAGAATGCACAATCGATTCCCCAGGGCTGGTTCTTGAATCAGCTGCCTTGCAAAGAACATTAGAATCAGTCCCAGAACTAACTTCAGACGCACAGAAGTTTTCTTCCTTCTCTCTTCCTTGTTCCCCCGTCATGAACTCTGCTTTCTTTATCTCCAAATCATCGACTGATGAGAAAGATGTCCATCTCTCCAACCATTTCCAAGTAACCTCAGATTTAGAATGATAGTAACTAATGTTGATAGGTCTCGTAGTTGGTGTAGACTCAAGAAGCTTCGAGTAAAATATATGTCAGTTTTATAGGATATAACATACAATATAGTTAGCATGGTGCTTACTCCACAACAAATTTCAGAAACACAGAAGAATACCTGCCGAACAAAGCCATTGCTAAGTAGTTTCTCAATTGAAGCGTATGTTACACTCGATTTCCTCAAATTTTCCTTCTCCTGAAATTCCAAAACAAAAAGAAGAGGTAGCTTGAATTATTTTGTTATCATTGCTGTCATGCGTAATTGGATTTATATTGTCAAAACAAGAATGGTTGGCATAGTAAATCAAAATCAAATCTAGGTCGAGTTGTGTTACCTCATAACTATTGCTGTCCTTTGTTCGCTTGACATCCAGTTCTTCAGAATGTGCTTGTTCAAGTGCCAAACGGGCACAACGCGCACGGACAAGAGCTTGCATTTTGATGATGGCTTGAATACAGCAAAGAGTTCCTACAGCATGTTTCCTAACCAAGTGCCCACGTACAGCAGCTTGCAACTTAACCACATTCTTAAGCTTTAGCAATGCTCCTTGGGCCTGTAAGAGAAGTTCATAAAGAACCGGACAAGGACGTATCTGATCTGAAAATTTGAAAAATAGAACATACCAACAGGCCTCTGATAACAGTCTGGATGATAATAACACTGCGTTCCTCCAGCTCAACATCAACCTTACTCTCCTTTTGAATTATATCAACAGCTTCAGATTCTTTAGGATTTTCAGTACCCAGTAATTGAGGTTTCTCATTTGCGCACTCCACAGCAGCACTTTTTTCTAAAATGGAACAGTTAGATGGTTGATGGAAGTTAATGCTAGCAGTATCGAAGCTATCTTTATTTCCAGGAGAATGGATTTCAGCTATCACAGTGTTGCTTAGAACTCGTTGCCGATTTGATCTCTTTCGAAAGCTCCAGCCTTGCTTGTCATTCAAACGCTTACTCTGGATAAATTTAAAATAAGATCATATTACATAAAATACAATTGCTAAATAAAAATGACTTAGCAAACATTCCGTACCTTGACCCAAGGTTTTATTACAAGAAATTAACTTGGAACAGTACTTTTAACACTACAAAAAGGCATAATCTCACAAAGATGCTCCGAAAAAAGCACATGACAGAAATAGAAGATAATGAACGATAAACAATCGGATTGAATCTGTAGTGTAGCGCAATGCTCAAATCACCGAACCCCTATATGCTTTGCAAATCCCCACTTAAAATTATTTCTTAATTTCAATTATTTGAAAAGAGAGAAACAAACTTGATCATCAAGTTATACAACTAACGCAAGCAGAACGCAAATTCTAGAAACAGCACACATTTCTTGCTCGGTAAACCCGACGACCAAGCACATTTCTGGCTTCCACTAAGTAGACTAAAGAGATACTTTCGAGCTGAAAAATGTAAAAGTTGAGAAAGTAAATGAAAAGGAAAACTCCGAAGTAAGAGGCAATGAGATACCTCAGGAATATCATTATCATCTTTGTCCTGCGAATCGCTACCGCACGCCATTATCTTAAAGCATGAAGCAGACTTACCCATTGTTTCTCACTCACGCCACTACCTTTCAACAGCTCCCTCACAGATCTATGGAGACAAAAACTGAAACCTTCGAAAAGAGAACACAGAGGAATCCGGAACTCAAAATCCACTAAAATTCAACAAATTTTAGCCATTTGGAATCCGTCGAAGTTGCAGAGAATGAGAGTGAGCGAGTAAGCCGAGGGAGAAATGCAGTAGCCGGGCCTCTGCTCTGCTCTGCTCCTCCCAAGTATTCAGATAAAATAAAAAAGAAATTCATTCTCCAATGTCTCGACAATTTCTCGCAGGAAATTCCGTTTACTAAGTCAATATCGTTTCAATTAATTTAATTAAGATATTCATGTGGTTAAAATATGGGCCACCGCCTTCCAATTTCCATTTCCCTCTAATCTAAAATTTTTATTTGTTTCAATAATATGATAAAATTATTGCCTCTATAATTTCGGCAATAATGAATTGAATTAAATAATATGGCCAAAACTATAGGGGTGAAAAGATATGAGATGGGACGGGAAATTTCTATATTAATGTCACTAATTTAGTATCATGTTATTCACATTCAAGAGTTAGAGATGAATAAAATATTCTGTTAAAAAAAGAGATGAAAAAAATAAAATAGTAATATATTAAAAAGAAAATAGAAAATAATAAAAAAAACTGTTCGTTATTAATGCTGAGATTGAAGCCAATTATGTGCTGCCACATGTCAGATGGGAAGATTCCAAATCATGAGACAGGAAATGTGTGACACGGTAATACGGACAAATACAGTGAGACATGATGAGTAAATGAAATTGGAGGCTACGGATGTAGCTCTACTTGGAGACCAAATTACTTTTATTTTGGAATAATGAAACAAATGTAAATGATAATAATTTTAAATATGTTAGTAAATACATTTTATCGATACAGCATCTTAATATAAGCTTAGATTCTAAATGGAAAAAAATCAAAACCACATTATCATATGTTGTGGGCTCAATTTTGACAAGACACATGGCCAAATCTCTGAGTGTTATGAGGAATCTAGATCCACTCCGAACTCAATAGGCCACGGATGGGATGTCCGTGTGGCCAAAGACAGGTAGTTCAGCTCATCTACTTTAAAATACGATGTCATGTATTAGAGTATCCTTAATCAACTATAATCTTTCTATTTGGTTCGAATTTCTTGAAGCTTGTCCTCCTAGATCACTCTCGTATAAAAGGAGTCAAACCTTTCTAAGAAGTATGCAATATCTTGCACAAAACATCTCGCTCTCCTTTTAACTCTTCCGAATTAAGTTTTAACTTAAGCTTCAAAGTGCATTTGGCATAGCACCACACAAGTGTTGAGTTTAGTTTTGCAAATTATATGCTTGCGAGAGCTTTTCTACCTCAACATCGCTCACCACGTCAGTTTGACCTGATCTCTGCACAAATTATCATACATTTGTAAAAAAAGTTATGTTGTCCAAATTAAATTAAAATGAGTGTTCTTTGGTAGGGAGTACCACTTCCAACTACTCACCATCCAATAGTAGGTAATAACGTCATTTGGTGGCACTTTTATCATCCATCATCACTACTGAGTTGACATAAATGGTAATAATATCCAGTTTTTTTTGCTATAATATGTTTTTAGGTTTTTTGTTATAATAAAAGTAACCACGAGAAAGTTCATTTTCAAAAATTAAGTAACACAACCTGTCTCTAAATTCATACTAGTTTTGTTGTATATAATAGTGAATAACTTGAGTTAGAGTTAAAAGTTTAGAAAGAAGTTTGACTATGGACTCCGGAGCTAGTTGGGGTCTGTAGTCGGCACAACTCGTGGATGTTTTTGGAGCAAATCGTGTCATTAAAAATATATCTGAAAAAGCATTTACATAAACCTGACTTATTTTTATCAAGATAGGATTTAATAGAGGATTTGGAGTTGAAATGAAGCAAAATGGGGTGACAAAGAACAATAATTGTTTTGGTGAAGAATGTTTTGAGGAAGCAAGAAGAGCATATTATGAGGCATATGACAGTGCAGCGTCAGGAGGGAGGGCCTGGCCTTGGGAACCCTGGTGGAGCCGCACTCACATGGGTTGATTGCCGGGAATCATGTGAATTCTTCAAACTCTAGTGTACTAAATTGGCCAATGTGCCTGCTTTCTCTTCACTTGAGAGAGCCATTGTGGTCGGGGGATCTCACCCATCTAACTAAACATACAAAGATGGCGGGCTTGGGCCGAATACGAAAAACCCGCTTCTCATTTGAAGTTGAATGTGACAATGCACTCGAAAATGTTACTGTGAACCTTTATGAACTGGAAAGATGATACAAAAGACAAAGGAAAATGATATGCACAAAGTCTCCTTCACCAGTAATTCAACAGCATCTGCTTTCCAAGAGGGGGGGTTGAGATGTTAGAATCTTTGGAGATGGGTCCTCTGATGGCTGTATTCCAGCAAGCTCGGTTAGGAGCGAGATCAAGAACTTGAGAACCACCACCCGAATGTGCTCTCACGAGAAGCAAACAGCTTCCCATTCCTTGCTTTAGAAGCAAACATGATTGCTCAGATCAGTCCCAGCACGACCCTCGAATCACGACCTCATAACAGGAATGTCCATCTTATTGATCCACATATCATATCAATCCTCTATTCTCACTGTTGTAGGCGGCTTTACAATAGGTGTTTGAGAATGCTGTTCTGCGAGGTCACCATACAAATACTGAAATGAAATAGAAACTTTCTATTTAACTCCAAGAATTTCGTAATGTTTTTACACTCAATATACCTTCATGACTCAAAAAACTTGGTGAAGTTCTGAATGATTGATGTCGTTGGGTAAGTAGGGTAAGTACATCATCTCTGGATAATCATATAATTGAAAATAAATAGTGGTGATGAAATAATCTCAAAATTGCAGATATATCGTCCGGACGAATAGAGTTGTTGACTTCACTTTGACTGAAGAAAATGATCACCAATTAAACCTACACTATGATGGATGCCGCCTTTCATGCCTTCCGAGGCCTGCCTCTCTTAGCTGCTGTTTTTCCTTGAGAAGATGCAGATTTCTTGTTTGATGGGGGCCGACCCCGTCCACGACCACTGCCTCCCTTTCCGCTGGCAGATGAGTTTTTACCACCCTTTCCTCTACCTCTACCTTTACTAGAAACCTTGCTTCCATATTGATCACTCGTATCTGACAGCCCGTTCGCCTCTTCACCGCTGCTGTCACCATCTTCGTTTTCCTCCTCTTCCTCCTCTTCTGAGTCAGATGACTCTTTAGATTTCCTCCTCTTCTTCGCGTTTTGTGAAGTTTTAGCAGCCTTTGGAGTTTGCTTGACAGCCGAAACTTTACTTTCGACTACTGCATTCTCTGCATCAAGAACAAAAATCACACAAGTCCCGCGAATTCCCATTATAATCCTCCATCTTAATCTCACAATTTTTAACATGCCAAGGTGCTGCTGAATATCCTTGATAACCCTATATGATTTGTTTCTTTCTAACACATGCTAATTCAGCACCAGAAAACCCTACAAAAAATAAACCAGACAATTCAAGAATACATAGGTTGAAGAATCTAAACATACCTTCATCAAAAGCTTTGCCGTCATGTATATCGAGCTGTCATCAAAGCCACAAAATTAGAAGTATACTTTACCCAACTAGAAACTAATGCGTACAGTAGGAACCAAAACTAAACAAAAAATGCGAGAAAAATGTCAATGGGTGAATGGCAGTTCACAAAAGAGACAAGGAAAAATCCACTTTATATGACAGGATCTCAGCAGTTTCGATTGAAAGAGCACTTCAGAAAGAGATCAAGAGAAGCATGGAAAGGCAAGTCCACCAGAGGAATAAGTTATGAAAATATTCATCGCTTCATTACCTGATTCTTGTTTACAACCTTTCACTATCATGCATGTTTAGCATTGTGCTTCATATGTTTCATACATGTTCCCAAATTAGTTAAAAACAGGAAACAAGAAGTAACTGGAAATAGGAAAGGGAGATAAAGGCAAAGACCCATGAATATAAGAAATAGAAAATAGAGAAGGGAAACATTATCAAACGAGGCTAAACTTGTCGAAGCCCAATAGTTCATTAAATGAGAGGATATTGATGAATGAGTCTTTTAGAATTGTTACCTGATCAAGTCGGTCGGCTACATTCGTTCTATCAACAACAACCATAGAGTACCCAGCTCCACATGCAACACTAAAGCAAAAACAAAAATCCATCAAGTCATACAATATTTAAGGAAAGGCTTCCTATATAAATACTGATCTACCTTATGACATGCATGTTCTCCAGGATGTCAACCTTTTTGGGTACTGCAGAAGACCTGAACAGAGGCTAGAATAAGATAACACTTAAGATGGAAATGATCACTCTATAGCCACAAGAGGCATTTCGAACAGTGGAAAGACATACTTCTGCCCTAAAGGGCCATATCCCAGCTCTCCATATTGGGCATGGCCCCAACTTATGCACGAGTTATCGGCACCCACAAAATGGTGCATGTTGCCCGAGTCCATGCATCTTAAATTCCATCCACTGAGTGAAAACAAACAAGTACATTAGCATTAAGAAGCCATATATAAAATAATTCAATAGAGAAAAGGTTCGGCAGGAGAATAAAAAATGACAAGCATGATAAATAATGCAGGGAGATATAAAAGACCACAAGGCTTTTGACATCCATAAATTAACCATAAGAAATTGAATCCATAAGAACATGGAGCAAAACCTTAAATCCATGAGAGGTTTGGGATACATCCAGTCATCTCCTGTATTTTTTATTTTTCCCCACATGTATAGCTGCCCTCCACCTGGAAAAAAGAAAAAAAAATCAATTTGTAACAAGCAAGACCATAAACTGGAGAAAACCATCTTGGTCATCAGATAATAGGCTTCAATGACTACAAAATGACTACAAGTTTTCTTAGAAGAAAATGATACTTAAACAGCAACATATGGAGTAGTGGAAGAGAACGAAAATTTTGAATGAAAAACAGGGGGCATGTTATTTCATATTTCTCTCATCTCTCCCCCTGCCGGCCCCCCAAAGTCCTACATACATCACTTGGTAGGATTGTCGTTTTTTTATGTAAGCCGTTTATTTAACATGGATAAAAAAAATAGAAGCAACATTTGGTTATTTTCAAGTGTTTTCATTGTTTTGAAGTACCTGCAGTACAAGCTGAGTTTACAGAACCTGCTGAAACAATAGCATCCGGAGGCAGAACATTTTTCCTCTGAAATACATCCACACGTCGAGGAGCCCATTCATCCTTCTGCTCTCTATGCCCAAGTCTACAAGTCAGTGCACCCAAAAAGTCAAATAGACAAAAAGCAAGAAGTTGGAAGAAGGTGGAGGAGGAGGAGGAGGAGGAGCACAGGATGAGGAGTATTCAATATATGTGGAACTTTTTGGAAACCAAATCCAAGCTGATCCATTTCACCAACCTTCCATAGCCGCCAAAGCCCCACCTAAAAATAGTTGTCTCAATGGATTATGGACATACAACATTCACACAAAACAAAGTAAAAAATTTAGGAAGTAGCCTAAAACAATACTCACGTGTAAACAAAGCCATTAGAATCCACTGCCACTGCATTTCATTAACAAAAAAAAAAAACAAAAAAGAAAGTGTTAACAAGCATATTTTAGAGATTCCAAAGTAGCTGCAAAGAGGTAAGTTGTATTTCAAACCTGTGTGATTTGTTCCACAAGCAACTTTAACAATCTTTTCTCCAGAAAGGGAAGCAATTGCTCTAGGACGTGGTTGGGCTTCATAAGCAAGTCTAACTGAGCTATCCTTGGTGTTGTACTGCAAACACATTTTAAAACAGGCAAAGCTTCATATAAAAATAAGGACGGGGACTTCTTTACAAATAGGTGCTTTAATAAGCGCTTTAGTAAAAAGTTCTTAATAACAAACCACTTTAATGCTTGGTTCTAAGGTTAAAAGTGCTATTGAAGTGATTCCCAGTCATACACCAAATGTATTCTACAAGTGCTTTTAACTATTTCCAAAAGCAATTTTGTGTTATTCTCAAACATAATAATTTTGAGGGAGAAGTGCTTTTTATCATAGCTAAAACGCAATTGGTAACCACAAGAACTTGCAAACATAGCCTAAGTTTTGCCATATCATTTTGCAATTACATCAGTGCCTAATGTATTAGGTAAGCATCCCAACGGTGATATGTGCACAAAAATACACCAATTCTCTCAGAATATGACTACAGAAAGTTAAGTTACAGCAAGTAAACGAGTTTGTGTACAAAAACAAAAGTTTTAAAATCCATCAGACAGTAACACATTGCACCAATACCACTAAAAACATTTCACAATGCTAAAAGAATCCTATTACATTACAACATTACAAAAGAAAAGCAAAGACTAGGACAAAGATGCATTTCAATTGAAATGCTTTTATATTTATAAATCTTAACCACATAATAGATAGCAAATTTAGAACCCAGCAAACTTTGAGCAAAGCCAATAGTGGAAAGATACATCTACAACGATCATAAACAATAGTTAAGAACATTGACCATAAAAAGTCATACAGGAATTTAAAATGCAAAAACAAGATTTCACATTGGAACAATAATTTTGAAACCCCCAGCTTCCCACTTAGCATAACGGGCTACAATGCTGGAATAATTCATACATTGAGCAATGATGCTAATGATATATGATAAAGATTTTTCATTTTTTCCATTGGAACTAAAAAGAATGGAAGAAGAGTAGACAAAGCATTGCATAGTACCTCATTATCGGTTCCATGCCCAAGCTGTCCATACTGTGGAAGACCGGCAGTACTGAAAGAAACAAAAAGAAGAATAACCATTATTCTAAGTAGTTGAGAAGGATGAAATAACGTGAGAAACGAACCAGAACAATGAAGAAAATAGAATCTAAAGATATCCACAAACCATACAGTATGGAAGATCCTTCAATAGAAGATAACCACACAGTGAATTCACCCCCACAAGCAGTATTTTTCACTTCAGATACAAGACAACGTACAGGAGATAACTCTCTTTCTACATACCAAAAAGAAACAAAGATAAAGTACATGAAAGATTGTGAGTAATAAAGGAACTTAGGCATGGCACCCAGTTCTTTCTCATATGCAATTGTTTTTCATTTCGTACTTCTGATACCTAATTAAACAATGCATCATAAAAAGTAAGCATTTACCTCTAATAAAACTTTAATTACTTCCACTCACCATTTTTCACTGAACCCGAACCCAACTGGCCATGTTTGTTCCAGCCAAAAGCAAGAGAATTTCCATCTTCAGTAACCACTACCGTGTGACTTTTCCCTGCTCCAGCTTTAACCACCTTGTACCTTACAACATACATCATACATCATTAAATGTTAGAATAACAAACTAAACCACCCTCAAGAATCCAATGGACTAAACCTCCAACGAACGTAGTAACATACTTTGAAAGGTCAGATACTATAGTAGGCCTATCTCGCTGAATCAAATCTCCATGCCCCAGTTGACCTTTCTGAACACAAATTACTTCAGACACTATATAAACAAGGAAAAGCAACGTTCTTAAGCTCCAGAGTAGAATGTAAACATGCCTCATTGCGTCCCCATGTATAGCAGCGCCCTTCCACGTCCAATGCCACACAATGACACGATGCTACGCCAAGATTAACATTCAAACTGTCAATAACCACTTCACTGCAATGCAGGATCAGAGTTGAATACTCCATAAAACACATCAAATAATCTTTCTGTATAGTTTTGGAACAAAAATCTAACATGAAATCAAACTTAGCGTAGCAGAACCTATTCAGAGACCACAATACCTGTACCCATGAACAGAATATCGAAACTTACCGCACCCAGAAGCGACAAAACGAATGTCAACGCCGACGAGCGGGCGAAGGCGAGTGGGGGAGACCAAGTTGCCTTCAACGGAGCCTTTTTTCCGACCAATTATATCCCAGCACGTAGCACCACAGAACAAAAGCTCACCCCCCTTCTCTTCCTTCTCGTTAACCTCCTCGACCTTCGTACCGGCGTCGAGCGCAGACATTTCCCGCCAAGCCCAGAGAGAGCAACGGTCAAAAAAAATTGCAAAAGACCCCGGCTGCGGAAAACGACAGGAGCAAACACGAGTAAAGAAATGGATAGAGGATAGCTAAAATTGGCGGGAAAATAGAAGTTAACGGCTAGTAGAACAGATCGGGAGGGTATCAGCTTTTTCACTCCAAGACGAAGAAGGTGAAGCAAGAAGAAACCCTAATCCAAATGGGAAGCAAACTTCGCAAAAATAACAAAATATAAAAATAAAAAAGTTTAAGATAAAAAAACGAAAAGTGGTGGGGAGGATTTGTTTTGGGTTCCGAGAATTGGGATTTTTCAATTAATAAAGGGAAATAAATTCAGAGAGAGAGAGAGAGAAGTGGGTAATAGAAATGAATTTTATTGGACTCTGTTTTCTTTATCTCTTTAAAAATTGGTTTTTTGGGTTCCTGAAACTTTTCCTTTAAGTCATAATCTCTGAGATTTCCCCTCTTTTTAATCAATGTCTTGTCTTCTTCAAAAATCTTGACCGTCCCTTCCCTTCTTCTTCTGCGTATTCAAGCTATACCAGCCGCTCATCTTTCCAAATAAATTTAAAAATATACTTTTTTCAAAAAATTTGTTAACTTGAAACTGCAAAAGCAAAAACCTCGTGAGCTACAGTAAATCAAAAGAGAAGAAAATAAGAATTTGTTTGATTTTGGAATTGGAACGGTCGGACGACGTTGTCTCGGTCTCCTGACCATATTAACTGTTCGTCGTCAATCTTGTCGCGGATAAACGGTACAGTGTGGGGCCCGACCCGGAAAGCGAAAATGGACTCCCCCAACAAGGCCTTGGTGGGCCTGGCATATTTATATCTGTCCAGCCCAAATAGAATGTCCAAATTAATTTATGGGCCTGGCCCAGTTCGGGTATCCATCGTGCCCACACGTCTCTCTGAAGTGGAAAGCAATGCAAAACATACCGCCAACGTCTTGAGCACTTTCTTCCCGGCAAAAATTCTGGATCTGTTTCTATTGTCTGAATTCGGTACCGTTCAATTGAAAAAAAAAAAAATCACTCTCTTTTATTTTAATATAATTAATAAACGGGATGTCTCTACTCGTATATGGATAATTATATTATATATTCAATAACCCACCCGGAATACAATGGTTAAGATATATAGTCTTAACTAAAAGACGATCACGGGATGAAGACGAGAAAGGATCAGATTCCATGCAATATTTTATTTCTCATTTATTTTTTAAAAGTATTTTTCAATTAAATAATTAAAAAAAACAATTTATAAGTAATTGTCTCATTCTCAATAATAAAATTTTATTTACATGGTTTAATACAAGGTTCAAAAAATCAAATGGCACATCGACACGTTGACGTCAACACAGGGGAGAAAAGTCGTTTTTCTCCCATATCGTCAATATGTCAACATGTCATTCAAATGTCGACGAAATATCGACATGTCTTTTTTTTTTTAAGTTTATTATATTTCCGTCTTCTTCTTACATTACCACGACAATCTACAATTTCTCACAAACTCGATGATTGTAATCTTAGTTTGTTAAATGCAACCTTCGCATTTTAATACTATATAAAGTATAACTGCTTTATTGATAATTTATAATCCAATATAATCTGTAGTTACACAATTGAATAATATATGTGAAATATTGACATATATAAATTCAAAGTAGGTAAAAATTAAAAAAAGGTAAAAGAAAGTAAGAATAATTGGAGTGAATTATACATGTGTTTGGAAGTTGTTTAAATTTGATTGAAAAGTTTGATTGATGATTGATTTGAAAATGTGTTTGAAAAACGTGTAAGTTCAAATTTGAAAAGAGAAGTAGATAAAAAGTAAAAACATACGAGTTAATTAGAATTTAGAAATGTGTTTAGAAACAAGTCGGGAATTATCTGATTTCCAAATGAATTCTGTTATAAAAGACACCGAAGAAGTAATAAAAAAAAGTTTACAATTAAAGTTTACTTTACATATTCAAATACTTTCCATCAATCTTTAGTAAAGAAAAAAAAATATTTTTTGGATATTTCTATCGACATCGACATTTTCATAATGGTCATATTATTACCTTTAATGTTTAAAGGTGACCAATTATAGGCTAATTAAGTTGAAGTTTTATTTTATAATTCAAAAAATTTCCATTATTTTTCTCGAAATATCCGTCGACATTGACATGTAAAATTGGGACCTCAACATTTTTATAGACATCGACATTTTGAACCTTGGTTTAATATATATATTAAAAGCTAAAAGCGAACATATAGCTAATTGACATATCTCTCAAACTAAGAGGTTACGAGTTCGATCCCTTCCTGCACATCCTTACTTAGGTGATGGGAAAAAATCCCTATCATCCCCGCTCCATCAACGCTTTAATGTTAAAATCGGACTGAAAAGTTTTAAGTAGTCAAAAATAAAATGTGATCAGCAAAGAAGTTTAGATATATCGTATGTGAAACTAATTTTAAAATATTGTGTGTGTGTGTGTGTTTTTTTTTTTAAGTTTTGATATAAATTACACAACAAAAGATTTTTATTAAATGGATACCAAAGCAGTAATAGTGTTACTTTACCGCTTATAGCCTTATTTTAGTTGTTTGCAAATATTATTGGATCACTTCTGACTTGTCTATTAAATGCAACAAACCAACAATATTTATTGAGGTTGAAAATATTTTTACCCCTAATTAATAGCCTTTCATGCAGATCTGAAATAATATTTTTAAATTCTCTCAAGTCTCATTCATCTAATCACAATTCACAAGCCACGTTTTTTCCAGTTTTCAGCACCCTCAAAGTATGAAATTCACGGTAAGTATTACTATTTTTCTAATATAAACCACACAAAGTTAGTGAAGAAATTTTGATTGACGGGTGAGTAACCAAGTAATCACAATCAGAATTCAAGTGCTTATTATATAACATGTGTATAATATATATCAATTTGGAACACGACAAACCTTCTGCAAACAAAACGGTAGTTTTTTTCATTTTTATTTGTATTTTCTTTTCCATTTCTGTGTGTTTATTGACAATTACTAATCAAATTAATTAAAACGCGAAACACAAAAGAAAACCATCAGAACCAATTCCAAACGGAGCAAATGGGCGATTGACGTCAATTTTGTCACTGGATTTGGACCCATATACCCTCGCTCGGAATTTCCTGATGAACAACGTATAATATATAATACCCCGCCGGCGCAACGTTGCCCGATCCCGGAGCTGTAACCTCCACCTCATACCCCGATTTCCCTCTGTTTCTGAACTTCCCGCCGCCCAGAATCAGCAGCCTCTGATTCATGGAAAACGAATGAGTGTTGAACGACGGAGACAGAACCGTCACCGACACCGTTTTCGGGTCAACTTTTCCGGCGACGGTGAAACCCACCTTAAATACTTGCCCATGACGGAGCTCCGCCGGAGACATGGGGGATGTGATTTTGGGCCGTAGAGCTGAAAATTGGGGGTCTAAATACGACGGAGAGAACGCTTCTAAGCTTAATTCAGTCGGAAAAAGCACGCCGGTGAAACTATAATTCGAATGGGGGTTACTGCCGCCGACGAGAACCCGGCCGTCGCGGAGTAAAATCGCCGTCGAGTGGTACATCCGGGGAATGGTAGTCGGGTTCTGCAATTCGAACCTCTTCCCGAGCGGTCTATTCGTGTGGTAAATAACCGGGTTCAAAACCGGTTCCCGCCCGATTTCCCACCCGGCGGTTCCCGCGGACGCTCCATTAATCAACAAAGCGTTGCCGTTTGGAAGCAACAACAAATCACCCATCACACGAGGCTGCGGCATCGTTTCCAGGACCCACTCGGGATTCGGGTCGGTAATTTTAATTCTGGCGCAAGTTTTTAACGCCTCTACAAAAATCCCACGGTTGGCCCTCGTAAAAGCTCCTTTAGGAGCACCGCCGCAAACCAAAACCTCAACTTCAACGAATTTAGCCCCCAATTTCAACGGCAGCATCACGGCGGACCCAGTGCTCGGGTAGCACCTGGGATTGCCATCTGGAATTGTCGGAAATGTTTTGACAACTCTGTTTCCGGCGTAATCGAATAAAATGGCTCGATTGTTAGCGAATATGAATAAATTCCCATCTGGCTGTAGAAAAACAAATGGGTACAAATTGTTCTCGATTTTTGGGTCGTTGGTCTCGCCCAAGAAGGGCAATCCGAACAGTTTTTGAGTTGCTCTGTTTTTGGGGTAGAATTCGTAGTTAAATTGTCGCCGGCCGCCGATTATGATCTGTCTTCCGTCCGGGAGAATGTGGTTAGTGGCGTACCACCGGCGGGCTAGCAGGCCCAACTGAATCTCCTCCCAGTCGCAGGTGGGACAGGGTTTGAAGATTCGGACTCTGCGTTCGCCGGAATTGAAGCCGCCCGTCTGAACGAGGGCGCCGTCGGGACTTACGGCACCGGAGGAACACCAGACGTCGGATTGGACCATGAGTGGACGGAAAGTGTTGGATGCGACATTGTACTCGATGGAATGAGCCGTGCAGTCGACTTTAATGTTGGCGTTTGGGTCTCTGAGGCATTTGCCTCTGGGCAGAGACAAATTGGAGAGGCCAAAATCGGTGCGGTCGAACATCACAACGCGGTCGTTTCGGAGCAACTGCATGTGCATGGCCGGTATGCCGACGCTTCTCTGTAAAAGCCTCCACCGGCCGCCGGCTGCTTCGGTGAGAGAGAGACCGGAGAAGAGGAGTATGTGGCAGAGGACGACGGAGAGAATCGTCGGAGGATTATACATATTTTGGGACTTTTTGTTTTCAGCTGCTTCAGATTCGAAGGGAAGCTGGGAATGCATGGGTTCAAGGCCACTGGGTTTACCGTTTATATATACATATTTTGGAGATTCAATTGCTTGCTAAGAAAACGCGTTGGCACACCACTGTCAAGGAAAGTATTTGGATCCGACTTAAAGAATTTTAACAATTGAGAGTGATGCAGGGGAAAAACATTTGTTTGAAGGAATCTTATTTTAGGAAAGTATTTGGATCCGACTTAAGAATTTTAACTTGAGAGAGATGCACGGAAAAAAGCATTTGTTTCTTCACCGTAAGAAGGAATCTTATTTTGACTGCAGTTAAATATTTGACGATAAATAAAAATTTATTTTTTAATTATGAGTTGTCAATCTTTGAACGGTGAGAGGATATGATATTTGATTTTTATAATTAAAAAGCCAAGTATATGAAATAAAGATTTTTTAAAATAATAAACTATTAATTTTTTAATGATAGTTAGGCTGAAATTAAGTTCTCACCATTTTTTCCCAAAATAAATATACTTTGTAAAATATTCGAAGATGGTAATGAGTAGGAGATAGGTGTGCTAACAATTAACACATTATGTAATATTCTTTGATGAAATTATAAATAATATTTAAGTGTTGATGCCTGCTAGCAACTATTAAAATTTGACACGTAGAAGAAGAAAGGGGAGGAAGATAGATATTTTTTTACGTTTTTTAGTAGGATAATACAATGATAATATAGGTGGCGACTACTAAGTACTAAGGTATTTTCTTTTTAAATACCAATCTAAACATATTAAAGCATATATCATCATCGAAATATCAATAGTTCGAGCTACCACCTCATATATTAAACGAAAAAAATATTTTTAGAAAAAAGAATACACTGTATTTGTTTTCAAAGTTTGAAACTTAATCAGCGATTTCTATATTTTTAATTCATTGTGAATTTTGAATCCATAACTTGTCATGGTTATTGACAATGAGACACTTTATTCATGTTATTTAAATAAGATTTCAAAGTATGATAGAAAATTAATTTTGGAGGTTAAACTACAAATCAATGAACTTTGCTATCCATTTAGTATTGAAATTTAAAAGGTTTTTTTAAACTTTCGAGGTTGGTACCGATAATTTCATGATGTTACTATTATTTATATATATACCCGACCCGACCCGACTATTGACCCGTTTGAGTTGTTTATAAGTGTTAACAAACTCGTCCCGGATCTTAGGTCGGCCAATTTGTCGTGATTTCCATTTAGTTACTGAGCTTCAAAAATATAAAATTAAAATAATTAAATCGTAGCAGTTTTGAATTGTGAAGAGCATTGAAGGATATGATTGGCTAATTAAAAACGGTTCAATGAATTTCTCTCCTTATATTACTGTATGTATCCAGCAATTTTTTCTCTCAGTTTGGGTTGGTTTTTTTTTAGTACCTCAGTTTGGGTTGGTTGCTCTCAATAAAAATAAAAAAATTAAATTAAATTTATCAGTACTCATCCACTTTAATTTTTGAGTTGGTGATTCAACAACTTTTTATCTGTCCATTTTATATTGTAAATTTATATATTTTCAAATAGAAATTAATTTAATGCTCAGTTTGTCTACTGTTCACCATTTTATTTAAGAACAAATTAACAACATTTTTACTTTAATGTATATACAAAAAATATATCCTTGAGTCTAACCAATTGTAAGACATAAAATATAGATGGTCACATGAAGTTACTAACATAAATTTTCAATACAGGGACCAAAAAATATACTTAAAAAACATTCTTAAATTTAAATAATTCTCGTTAAGAGATGAGTAGCATGAGACTATTGTTTCCATGATTTGGGCGATTGAGCTATCGGTGTGATGAGAATGATTTTAAATAGAGAAATTATAATAGGTGATAAATATTGGCAAATATAGCCCGACAAATAAAATTGTACAAATATAGTAAATATAGTAATTTTGTAGTTAGGGTGGGTGTCTATAAATGTAAATTACATTACTGATAAGACTTATTACATGTCTCCCAACGTGGTCATTTAGTGATAGTCGTGGATATCACATATTTATTGTGTTTATAATTAGTAATAAATATGTGGGAGTGCGATATATCTTAACGATATAAGGAAATATATGTTATTATTTTGGCCATGTTCCTTTTTTTTTTCTTTTTATTTTTTTCCAATTAAGAGATGAGATAGTTGGGAACTTGGGAGGTAAAATAGAAAAAAAAAATTGAGTTGAAAATTATAGAACCGTGTGACGTGCTTGAGACTTAGTCACGAAATATTATTTATATTTAATATGATCTTATCTGATGCGGCAAAGTTTTTAGCAAATTGTTTTTCTCAAACCAATTATTTGATTTATTAATATTATTGATTTATTTATTTTCAACGCTTCCAGCTATATTTGATTATTCTTTAGAATTTTTTGATGTGCATATGATAGCGGCAGTATGGTTTTATTTATAAATGTGATAGATAAGTATGTTTAGAAAATAATAATAATAATAATTAAGTCATACCATGATTATGAATGAACTTCTCAACATTCCCAATGAATATAATACATTTCACATTAATTTTCACGCAAAAAATACATATACAATATAACCTACACTTATATCTACATTCATGATTTAGCAATTTTAATGATACTAATATTTGAAATTGTAAATATTTGGTTTCTATACGCTGTGACTTGTCCTTAAATGATATAGTCAACCAGCTATATAAAATTTTATTGAACAAACCAAACTACAAAATCACACACAAAATTTAAAAGTTTAAAAACCTATTAAAATTTTAATTACACGAATTAAATTGACATAATTTTGAAGTTCAAATAACTATTGTAATTTTTTTAAATGGTAAGAGTTAAATAGACATAATCTTAAATGTTCAACATAGTGTTTGTTAAAGTAAGTTTTAAAAGCAAATATATTATAGTTGACGAAGATGATGATATGCATAAAAATAGTTGAGATTTATGTTTGTTTGTGTTGGGATTTAATAATTAGTGTTAAATGTTTATTTGTGTACTACGAAGAATATAAATGTATATTGATTCAATTATGCCTTTTAAGGCTCTCTCTATCAGATAACTAAACACTAAAAGATTAGAATGAAAGAGAGAGTCAAAATCGAGAATAGGTGAATATTCTTATATTATTTTCATTTTTGCTTTTTGATAATATATTTTTTAATTTTAAAAAATAAGTTATTCTTTATTTAATTTTTCAGTTTGGAGATCAACTTAAAAATCTTAATAAACTTTTTAAAACAAAATTGTATTGTTGAAGACAACTTCTAATTTCAAATATATATTAGCTAGTTTGCAAAAAAATAATAATAATAAGTATTTTATGAAAATTAGACAAAGCAAAATAAATAAATAAAGGAAGGAAGGAAGAAAATATTCCCTCCCACGCAAACGATAATGATAACGAAGCTTGATATAAAATTGATAGACTTGTTTTTTGTTCGATACTTGAACTAGACAACCTTTGACAAAATTATTCTCTTAATAGCTCGGCAGATATATATTTATATGAATGTGGTTGTATTTAAATTGAACTGATGAGGATTAGTGAACGATTTGTGATTTTGATGATTTATTTGTTCTCTATCATAAAATGATAGTCTATATTTGAGATATGGATAGAACATAGTGTAATATTGTTATATCTTAAATAAAGAGTCTAAATATAAAATTTAATAAAAGTTGAAATATTAAAAATAATATCTGAAAAGCTTAAAATGATAATACAAATCTATAGACAAAAATTATATAATATGGAAAACAAATGGAAGTTGGAATTTCAGAGGGGGTTTGGTTGGTGGGGTGTTACGATCGGAGGAGAACTCGTGGGCCGACGCATTTAACAGCCTATATAGATTGCAATATCTCAACTTAAAAATTCAAATTTTATTTAGACCACCAAACAAATATTAATGGATTTCTATATATATATATATATTTCGTCTTATTTAATTTCTTAGATTGTTTATTAAAGGATGTCTACTGTGCCGTTTTTCAAATTTATATTAGATTTTAAAATGTATTCTTGTGGTGCAAGAAACAGTATTCCTCGACGAAATTAGATTTTTGTGTAAGATAAATGAAATATAAGTTTGTGATTTTAAAATGGAGCACAACTACTTTAAGAGTAAAATTTTCCCTAACGAAAAGATTCAACATACGCACCGAACTAAAGATTGGATCACAATGCAAAATTCAAGCAGTACCAAATGATAAAAAAGAATATATGTATAATTTGCTGCCAAAAAATTGCAAAAACGATCGACGTGAATTATCAAAGAATTTGGATCCAAATGCCTTCACTGGGAATGGATCGATGAACAACAAATAATATGTAATACCCAGACGGTGCAATATTACCGCAAATCGGAGCGTTAACCTCCACTTCGTAGTTGAGATCCGGCCAAGTGGTGGTCGTCACATTCCCGCCGGCGAGCACCAACAGCCGCTGGTTCATGGAGAAGGAATGGGTGTTGAACGGCGGGGCCAACATGGTCACTGAGATTTTCAGCGGATCCAGTTCCTCCATCACCGTAAATCTCACCTTGAATCTTTGCCCGTGGGAAAGTTTAGTTTGGGATGCGGGTATTATGATTGTGGGCCGTAAGGACAAAAATTGAGGGTCTAGATATGGAGGATGGAATGCTTCTAAGCT